AGGCTGGAGTACAGTGGCACAATCATAGCTCATGGCAGCCTCGGTAGAGAAAGGGTATTGCTGTGTTACCCAGGCTGGTCTCAGACACCTCACCTCAAGCAATCCTCCTGCCTCAGCCTCCCAAAATGTTGGGATTACAGGCATGAGCTACCTTGCCCAGCCAAGCCCTAAACTGTTATGGCTCATATGTAAAAGAAATTTGTCCCGGCCGGGTGCGGTGGCTCATGCCTGTAATCCCAGCACTTTGGGAGGCCGAGGCGGGTGGATCACGAGGTCGAGAGATCGAGACCATCCTGGTCAACATGGTGAAACCCCGTCTCTACTAAAAATACAAAAATTAGCTGGGCATGGTGGCGTGTGCCTGTAATCCCAGCTACTCAGGAGGCTGAGGCAGGAGAATTGCCTGAACCCAGGAGGCGGAGGTTGCGGTGAGCCGAGATCGCGCCATTGCACTCCGGCCTGGGTAAAAAGAGCGAAACTCCATCTCAAAAAAAAAAAAAAAAAAAAAAAAGAAATTTGTTGAGCATTTTTCTCAAATTTAATGACAATTCAAAAAAATGTACATATTACCCAAAGGAGCTTTTACCTGAAAGCAACTTAAGTAATAAAATTAAATTTTGATTAAACATGTTAGAGGAGAAACTGAATCGTCTTCTTTCTTTGTTTTTGTTACTTGTTTTTTGGTTTTGACAGGATCTCACTCTGTTGCCCAGGCTGGAGTGCAGTGGTGCGACCACAGTTTACTGCAGGCTTGACCTCCTGGGCTCAAGTGATTCTCCCACCTCAGCTTCCCAAGCAGCTGGGACCACAGGTGTGCACCACCGTGTCCAGCTAATTTTTTGTAGAGACAGGGTTTTGCCATGTTGTCCAGGCTGATCTCGAACTCCTGGGCTCAAGTGATCCTCCTGCCTCTACCTCCCAAAATGCTGAGATTACAGGCGTGAGCCACTGCGTCTGCCATCTTCTTTCTACATATAGAAGGTTACATTATAAATATGTTGTCATCTTAAGAATGCATCAGAGGCCGGGCGCGGTGGCTCACGCCTGCAATCCCAGCACTTTGGGAGGCCGAGGTGGGCGGATCATGAGGTCAAAAGACGGAGACCATCCTGGCCAATATGGTGAAACCCCGTCTCTACTAAAAATACAAAAATTAGCTGGGCATGGTGGCACTTGCCTGTAGTCCCAGCTACCTGGGTGGCTGAGGCAGGAGAATCGCTTGAACCCAGGAGGCAGAGGTTGCAGTGAGCTGAGATGGTGCCACTGTACTCCAGCCTGGGTGACAGAGTGAGACTCTGTGGCAAAAGAAAAAAAGAAAGAAAGAAAAGAGAGAGGCAGGGGAGGGAGGGAGGGAAAGAGCATCAGAAAGGCTGGGCATGGTGGCTCACACCTGTAATCCAAGCACTTTGGAGGCCAAGGCGGGCAGATCACCTGAGGTTGGGAGTTCAAGACCAGCCTGACCAACATGGTGAAACCCTGTCTTAAAAAAACAAAAAAGAGAGAGAAACCATCAGAGAATGCATCAGAAAAAATGTAGGGGAAACCTGTTGGAATCAATCGTGTCAGGCAGGTTTTCTGCATTCTGTGATGTTTGTAGTATTTGTCAACTTTTAAAATGTTGTGTTTCAGAACATCTTTTCTCACTCTTAGTTTTAGACACATAATTTTGTCTTATGTTTCAAAAGAAGACTGTGTAGAGGAGTTAACAGCAGGACTGAGAAGCTCTTCTTCACAGGGAGGCTTGGAGAGTTCGTGTCTGGGAACCTGGGTTATGCGATGGTTCCCCTCACTCTCTGGTAAGTGTGTTTCACTGTGCCTAGACTGTTGGTACAAACATGGCTCATGCTGAACACCTGTGTTGCTTCTGGGAGTCCGGAATTTGGGCGCGTGCTTGGCACAGACTGCGTGTGTGACCAGCCCTCCATAAAACCCCAGGGCACTGAGCGTCTAAGAAGCTTCCCTGGCAGCCAGCGTTTCACACACACCGCCCCAGCTTCTTCCTGTGGAGTCCACCCAGAGAGGACTTGACCAGCTCACGCATATTTCCAGTAAGTTCATCCCATGCACTTTTTCCCTTTGCTGATTCAGACTTACATCCTCTCTGTTTAATAATCTTAGCCACGAAGACAAGTCTATAGTGAGTCCTGTGAGTCCTTCTAGCTCCGGAGATGCCTTGGGGATACTTCTCATGGCCCCTGAATTTACATAAGCTTTAGGCCTCCAAAATTTGAATCAACCCATGTGTGTGCCCTAAGCTGGAGTACAAGGGTCAGAGAACCAAAGGTGTGAGGTCGGAGTGGCCTCATGATTCTAAACCTGGGATACTGCCAGGTTGGATGCCCTACTTCCTGAACGTGAACACTTGCACCAGGGAACACAGCAGAGGTTCCACTGATCTCGAAGTAGCAGCTCTCACTGGCCCACGTTAGACTTCTTAGGCTGAAGACTGACAACATCCTCACTGTCCTGAGTTGCCAACACCAATGCTACACAACTAGGGTGGGCAGCAGACATAACTCCCTAGGCGTCTAGTCTTCCCGCATGGGGCAAGGACTGTCGATGGACAGCCGCAACAACCACCCAGTCACAGCTGGGAGCGGCGGCTCACACCTGTAATCCCAGCACTCTGGCAGGCCAAGGCGGGTGGATCACCTGAGGTTAGGAGTTCGAGACCAGCCATCAACATGGCAAAACCCCGTCTCTACTAAAAAACATAAAATTAGCCAGGCACAGTGGCTCATACTTGTAATCCCAGCACTGTGGGAGAACGAGGCAAGTGGATGACTTGAGGTCAGGAGTTCAAGACCAGCATGGTAAAACCCCATCTCTACTAAAAATACAAGAAAAAGGTTAGCAGGGAATGGTGGTGACTGCCTGTAATCCCAGCTCCTTGGGAGGCTGAGGCAGGAGCATTGTCTGAGCCCAGGAAGCGGAGGTTGCAGTGAGTTGAGATGGTGCCACTGCACTTCAGCCTGGGTGACAGCAAGACTCCGTCTCAAAAAAAAAAAAAAAAAAAAAAAAGCCAGGCATGGTGGCAGGTGCCTGTCATCCCAGCTACTTGTGAGGCTAAGATACAAGACTTGAACCCAGGAGGTGGACGGCACAGTCGGCTGACCCAGCACCACCTGGCTGCTCACAGTAAGCAGCACCTGGCTGCAGAGCAGAGGGTGGGGAATCGGGGTGCCCAGGGACAGAGGGTGGTGAGCCATCATGGCCCCAGACCAGCTGCAGTAGGGCTGCGGCTCACTCACTCACTCACTCGAATGCCTCTGTCTTTCAGGAGAGCATAACCACCTCCGGGGGATGCTGTGGCTGCTGAACTTGGGCCCCTGCAGCAGACTGCCATGCCCTAGCTCACCTGCTCTTCTTACAGTGTCATGCTGACACTCACACCACTGGAGGGTGGGGTCCAGGTCCCTGTAGGGTCCAGCCCTACAGGGTCTGTGAGCCCCTCCCGGCGGCTGCGGAGACGAGAAGTTGTAGAAATAAAAGACGCAAGACACAGAGACAGAGAATAGAGAGTTTGGGCCCGGGGTCCACTGCTACCCAGATCGTGGAGACCAGCAGCGGCCCAGAATGCCTGACGGGACACTCTCACCTTTACTGAGCTGCAAATCTGGGGTCAGGGTAGGTAGGGAGTGGCCTTGGTGGTCGGAGACTGGGGGCAGGGTGGACAGGGCGTGGCAGTGATAGGGTCAAGTACATCACGTGTCATTCAGGTGGGGGCTCAGGAATTTCTGGCACCCGAAGGGAGGCAAGGAGCATAAGCAGCACCTTTTCCAGACTTATCAAGAAAGAACTGAAACATGAGGATTTATGTTACCACTACTGAGTTGTCTTTCCTAAGACAAAAGGAACACAGCAGAACAGAGCCAGGTGCAGAAGCAGAGCGTGAGGGCGGACCTGGAACGTGACCGCTGAAGCCAGCGTCACACAGAGACAGTTGAGCCCCGGAGGTCTGCGGGCCTCCTGACAGCCGTCAGGCCTACCACGGAGCGTGGAGAAGCGGAGTTTCCTCCTAACCGCCCCAGGAAGGGGACGTCTCGGCCACCTTGGGCGTCTCCTCCCCTAGCTGGCTACACAGCGGGGCTTTCCCAGCGCTGGCGCTGCCGCACAGCCGAGGCGCCCTCCAGCAGCCCGTATGCGGGCGTGACAGGGGCTTAGAGCCGCGCGCCTCAGGGTCATTCGTTCACACTGTCACCCCGGGTTCACAGTTCCGACCTGAGAGGCAGTAGAAAAGGAATCAAGATCACCCGTGAATAACTAATGACGGCTACGGTGATATTCCCAGTTCCCCGCTTCTTCCTGATTTCTATGGAAACGGGCTGAGGTCTCTTGCCCCCGCCCCCGCGGTCGTGGGTCCTCGTCCCCAGCCTGGGCAGACTTGTCCTACTGACTTGACCCTGGAGTCTGGCAGGAGTGACGCTATGCGACTTCTGAGCTAGGTCGTAAAAACCGCACACAGGTCGCCCATCTTGTCGCCTTGGAACCAGCCGCCACACCGCAAGGAAGCCTTCGCCGCATGCAGAAGCCACGCGCCGCTGTGCCGCCTGACCGCCGCCGGCACCGGTCACCAAGGACGTGGGCGAGAAAACGCCGAGGGCGGCTCCGGCCCAGGCGCTGCAGGGCGGACCCCAAACGCAGGCCACCCGGCTGAGCCTAGGCGACGCCAGACTGCAGGACACCGGAGACGAACGGTCGCCGTCACTCGACGCCCCTGAGGTGAGGTGGCAAGAGACGAACAGGCGCACGACGCTCCTGGGAAAGGGCGAGGCACCGGCACCCTCCAGGGGACCCGGGAGCCCACGTGACTGCAGCGCGGGAGCGGGTGTGACGGGAGGGCACGAGAGGGCTGGGGGTGCCAGGCGTGGGCCACGCTGGGCACCTGCCCGGCCCCCCTCCGAGCACCCCCAGAGCCCGTCAGCGCTGCAGCCCACGGGGCTGCTCCGTCCACCTCCACACCGGGAGCGCGGGGACGGCGGAGTGACGCAGGCACCACCGGTCCCGAGGGCGCGACTTCGGAATCCCGCCTTCGGCGGGCGCCCACTTCTTGGCCCCCGGGGCACAGCTCCGGGAACGGCTGCGGGCCCAGCCCCGCTTCCCCGACAGAGCCGCCGCAGCTCCCCGGAGACAGAGCGGAGCCCGACGGCCGGAAACTGTAGGTCCGGGAGGTCGGGGCCGCGGGGCGCTGTAGTTTCCCGGGACCAGGAGTGGCCACGGACCGCCGGAAACCATAGATCCGGGGAGGTCGGGGCCGCGGGGAGCTGCAGTTCAGCGGACCCGGAAGTGACAGGACCGCCGGAAACCGTAGATCCGGGGAGGTCGGGGCCGCGGGGAGCTGCAGTTCAGCGGACCCGGAAGTGACAGGACCGCCGGAAACCGTAGATCCGGGGAGGTCGGGGCCGCGGGGAGCTGTAGTTTCCCGGGACCAGAAGTGGCCACGGACCGCCGGAAACCACAGATCCGGGGAGGTCCGGGCCGCGGGGAGCTGCAGTTCAGCGGCCCCGGAAGTGACGGAGGACCGCCGGAAACCACAGATCCGGGGAGGTCCGGGCCGCGGCGAGCTGCAGTTCAGCGGCCCCGGAAGTGACGGAGGACCGCCGGAAACCACAGATCCGGGGAGGTCCGGGCCGCGAGGAGCTGCGGTTCAGCGGGCCCGGAAGTGACGGAGGACCGCCGGAAGCCGTGGGTCCGGGGAACGAGCGGCCGCCTGGAGCTCTAGTTCTCCCGGTCTCCAGCGGCTCGGAGAACTAAGCGGAGAGCGGAGCTGGCGGCCGCGCGGAATGGCGGGGCTGGAGCTCTTGTCGGACCAGGGCTACCGGGTGGACGGGCGGCGCGCCGGGGAGCTGCGCAAAATCCAGGCGCGGATGGGCGTGTTCGCGCAGGCCGACGGCTCGGCCTACATGGAGCAGGGCAACACCAAGGCGCTGGCGGTGGTGTACGGCCCGCACGAGGCGAGTGGGCGCGCGGGCGGGGACATCGCGCGGCCGCGGGCCCGCAGGGCAGCCGCGCTGAGCGCCGGCTCGGGGACGCGAGGGGCGGCGGCCGGCGCTCGGCGCCGCGTTTCCCTCGGAGCAGACGCCGGTCCTCGGTGCGCCGCGCGGTGGCCCTGCCTCTCTCGTCGGCCCGCCCCTCACCTCTCAGCTCCACTCCGACGTCACTGCTCCCCGGGCGACCTTATCCACGCGGCACTTCCCCTCCCTGCAGTAAACCCTTCCTTGTCTTCTGTGCAGCTACGATCTCAAACGCGTTTTGCTTAAGCGTTTTCACCTTTGTTTCCTCGCTGGAACATAAGCTTCCTAAAGACAGAAACTTTTCATGAAAACCCATGGTTTCATTGCTGTTTCCGGCGCTGTAGCAGTGCCTGGCCAGCAAAGGTACCGAAGATGTGACAGCTCTGCTTTCTAGGCGGAGGGAACCAGGAGGGCGAAGACCACGCGGGTGAAAACAAGCATAGCACTTAGGCAGAGCAGAAAGACTGCTGGTGGGGAAGGGGCGTAACTCCCAGTTAAGGTAGAGACTTTCCGGGGAAGTGCGGACTTGGAATTTTGTAGACCAGGGAAAGGATTTGGGATTTTATTTCATATGTAACGTGAAGCCTTCGTAAGTTAATTAGGATTTGAGTGTGTAGGTGAGATAGAATCAGCCTTGACGTTTGTAAACTTGGGTTGGAAGGGAATGGGACCAGGATGGACACAAGGCAGCCAATTAAAAGATGCATGCCAGGAGGAAAAGCGTGCAAAACGGGGCTTTGTTTTGGAGGTAAAGTAGTTGCCTCTTGCTGAGGCATTGAAAGTGAAAGGAGAGGCAGACCCCCCCAGAGAACAGTGGAGTGTGAGCTGGAAGGAGTGGGCCTGGCTCATGTGTCCATCTTCTTCCAGATCCGGGGCTCGCGGGCTCGAGCCCTGCCAGACAGGGCCCTAGTGAACTGTCAGTATAGTTCAGCGACTTTCAGCACCGGTGAGCGCAAGCGACGGCCACATGGGGACCGAAAGTCCTGTGAGATGGGCCTGCAACTCCGCCAGACTTTCGAAGCAGCCATCCTCACACAGCTGCACCCACGCTCCCAAATTGATATCTATGTTCAGGTGAGCCGGCTGCAGCCTGCAGTCCACGGAGGGAAGGGTGTGATGGGATTGAGGAGGGAGTCTGATGAACTGACACCCTGGGGTCCTCGCAGGTGCTACAGGCAGATGGCGGGACCTATGCAGCGTGTGTGAATGCAGCCACGCTGGCAGTGCTGGATGCTGGGATACCCATGAGAGACTTTGTGTGTGCGTGCTCAGCTGGCTTTGTGGACGGCACAGCCCTGGCGGACCTCAGCCATGTGGAGGAAGCAGCTGGTGGCCCCCAGCTGGCCCTGGCCCTGTTGCCAGCTTCAGGCCAGATTGCGCTGCTTGAGATGGATGCCCGCCTGCATGAGGACCACCTGGAGCAGGTGTTGGAGGCTGCTGCCCAGGCTGCTCGAGATGTGCACACCCTCTTGGACCGAGTGGTCCGGCAACATGTGCGTGAGGCCTCTATCTTGCTGGGGGACTGACGGCCCTGCCACCCGTGTCCAGAATAAAACCCTCCTCCTCTGCCCACACACTCCTCACTGTCCTTTGATCACCCAACAGCACTTCAGAGCCATGTGAAGCCCTGCAGAGCCTGGCCTGGTACTGGCTACTGGGAATGACCAGGGACCCTCACCCACACGTGAACTGTCTGTCTCTGTGTAGCCTCCTGATTCAAACCTTGAAGAGAACAGTGGATTACGGGGTTGAGGTGAGAGAGTCCCTGGGTGGAAAAAGCAGCATGTCCCAGTAAGGACTCAAGGCAGCTGAGCAAAAGGCAGGGCCTGGCAAGATGAGCCAGGCCATTAGACTGAGGAATCTGTTCTTACTCCAGCATATTGGGGGCCCTGAGCAAAGGGCTGAGGAAAAACTCAGCTGGCTCTGGGTAGCCACCCTAGAGATGTGGGGAGCCAGGTCGCACAACCTCTGGACTATGGCTTGGAGCCCCTTGGGCTTTTCCTGCTGCTTACCCTGGACTCTAAAAGGACAACAGCCAGGCATAGTGGCTTACGCCTGTAATCCCAGAACTTTGGGAAGCTGGGGCATATGGATTGCTTTAGGTCGGGAATTTGAGACTACCCTGGCCAACATGGCAAAATCCCGTCTCTACTAAAAATACAAAAATTAGCTGGGGGTGGTAGCACACACCTGTGTAATCCCAGCTACTTGGGAGGCAGAGGCAGGAGAATCTCTTGAACCCGGGAAGTGGAGGTTGCAGTGAGCTGAGATCATGCCACTGCACTCCAGGCTGGGCAATAAGGCAAGACTCCATCTAAAAAAAATAAAAGTACAAAAAAACCTGTTCTCATGGATCAGTGGAGGTCAGGAGTTCGAGACCAGCCTAGCCGACATGGTGAAACCCCTTGTCTACTAAAGATGTGAAAATTAGTGTGATAGTGGGCACCTGTAGCCCCAGCTACTTGGGAGCCTGAGGCAAAAGAATTGCTTGAACCGGCAGGCCAAACCCCGCACTGGAGGTTACACTACTGGACTCCAGCCTGGGTGACAGAGCAAGACTGTGTCTCACACACACACACAAAAACCCGTTCTCACATGGGAGTCCAGCTTTGACTCTTTCTGCCCGCCACTTTGTTTGTTGAGACATGGTCTTGCTCTGTCACTCAGGCTGGAGTGCAGCGGTGTGATCACGGCTCACTACAGCCTCGACCTCCTCCGAAGTACCTGAGCTGAGACTACAGGCACGCCCCACTCCACCTGGCTAATTTTAAAAGAATTTTTTTTAAAAAAAATTTGGTGGAGACTAGGTCTCATTGTGTTGTCCAGGCTGGTCTCAAGGGATCCTCCCACCTCAGCTTCCCAAGCTGCACCCTCTTCTTAAGCAAACTCCCCCTTCATCCGCCTCTCACCCGCAGATCTGGCCAAGCGCCGACTACCGGCTCCTGCAGTCTGGACCCTGGGGCTGCTTCTCCCCTAGTATTCCAAGCATCTCCCGGCCGGGACAGGGCTAGTATGCGCCCCGCTTTATACTGCACACTCCCCAGCTCCAGTGAGGCCCGTTTGGGCCAGCAGTGCCATCAGCATCTTTGCAGTCATCTGACTCAAAACCTTGGTGCTGGGCTCACTCTGTGACTCCGCTGGGACGTCCCGAGTCACTGCCAGTCTCGCCGGGCATCCGTTCTCCCCGCCGCCGGCTTTCCGCCCCGCTGCCCGGCTCATCACCTCTGGCTCCTGCGGGCCTTCCAGCCGTCCGCTGAGCAGCTCGGCCTGCTATCGGGCATCTCCTCTGCCCTTCTCCGGCCGTGGGGCCACCTGCCTTCCTCCGGGTCGGTGCACTGCCGGTCCCACCCTCCTGGAGGCGGCGCCTAGCGGACCCCGAAACCCGCCCCGGTCCCGCCGCCTGCACCGGCACCGCCAATCCTCCGGCCGGCCTCTGCTCTGGGCATGCGCGCCGGCCGGCCAGCGTGGGGGGCGCGCCCTGTGCTCTGGGCATGCGCGCCGGCCGGCCAGCGTTGGGGGCGCGCCCTGTGCTCTGGGCATGCGCGCCGGCCGACCAGCGTGGGGGGGCGCGCCCTGTGCTCTGGGCATGCGCGCCGGCCGACCAGCGTGGGGGGCGCGCCCTGTGCTCTGGGCATGCGCGCCGGCCGACCAGCGTCGGGGGCGCGCCCTGTGCTCTGGGCATGCGTGCTGCCGCAGGCGTCGCTGGGACCGGAAGTGCGGGCGAGCGCGGGTCCCCGGGTCTGACAGGAGCAGCCTGCGGGCGCCGCGGCGGCGGCAGCTGGAGGCGGGAGGGGGTCCGTAGCCGCGCCGCCCTGCCCAGCCATGGGCCTCCTGTCGGACCCGGTGCGCCGGCGCGCGCTCGCCCGCCTCGTGCTGCGCCTCAACGCGCCGCTGTGGTGAGGGCAGGGCCGGGGGAGGCGGGGACCCGCGGGCCCCGGACTCGCGCTGCCGGCGGCCCCTCGCGCGGTCCCCATCGAGGGCCGGGGCCGCTCCGGCTGCTCGCGCCGCTCCGCTCCGGTCCCCGGGAAGCACCGAGGGTACCACGCGCAGGCTCGGCTCCCCCGTCCGGCGTCCCGATGCCGGACTCCCGGTCTGGGGCTCTCAGAGCCGCGCGGCCGACCCCGGGTGCGGAGGTTGCGGCCTCGGCCGGCGCCCCGCGCCCCGCGCCCGCGCCCCGCGCCCCGCTGACGCCGCGTGCCCCTCCGTCCTCTCCCGCAGCGTGCTGAGCTACCTGGCGGGCATCGCCTGGTTCTTGGCGCTCGCCTTCCCGCCGCTGACCCAGCGCACTTACATGTCGGAGAACGCCATGGGCTCCACCATGGTGGAGGAGCAGTTCGCGGGCGGAGACCGTGCCCGGGCTCTCGCCCGGGACTTCGCTGCCCACCGCAGGAAGTCGGGGTGAGCGGCAGAGCCGTGCGCGCGGCGCGGGCCGGGCGGCCGAGGCCGGGGAGCTGCTCAGGGGCTCCCTCCGTGTCCGCAGGGCCCTGCCGGTGGCCTGGCTGGAGCGGACCATGCGGTCGGTCGGGCTGGAGGTCTACACGCAGAGCTTCTCGCGGAAACTGCCCTTCCCCGATGAGACCCACGAGCGCTATGTATTGGGGGAGCGGGGTGTGCCCGGGCCCAGAACGCACCCTGGAGGGAGGGGTCTGGCTGGGTGTCACCTTGGGGGATGTCGTGGGGCCGGGAAGTTCAGTGGGAGAGAAGTCCCTGGTGGGCATCGGAGGGCTGGGAAAGTCGGGGCGGGACCTTCGGCCCCTACCGCAAGGCTGCGCTGAGGCTCTTCCCTCCGACACTCCATGCAGATGGTGTCAGGCACCAACGTGTACGGCATTCTGCGGGCCCCGCGTGCTGCCAGCACCGAGTCGCTTGTGCTCACCGTGCCCTGTGGCTCTGACTCTACCAACAGCCAGGCTGTGGGGCTGTTGTTGGCACTGGCTGCCCACTTCCGGGGTGAGGCTCAGGGCTGCTGGCCAGGGAGTGGTTTGGCCAGCGCCCCAGGCCCTGCTGATCCTGCCTCTGGCCTCCAGGGCAGATATACTGGGCCAAAGATATCATCTTCCTGGTGACAGAACATGACCTTCTGGGTACTGAGGCTTGGCTTGAAGCCTACCACGATGTCAATGTCACTGGTAGGTTCTCTTGCCCTGCCCTGGTTCCCCTCTCAGGGCCGCTGTCCTCACCAGACCCCCCATTGGCGTTCATTCACTTGCTCTCACAGGCATGCAGTCATCCCCCCTGCAGGGCCGCGCTGGGGCCATTCAGGCCGCCGTGGCCCTGGAGCTGAGCAGTGATATGGTCACCAGCCTCGACGTGGCTGTGGAGGGGCTCAACGGGCAGCTGCCCAACCTTGATCTGCTCAATCTCTTCCAAACCTTCTGCCAGAAAGGGGGCCTGCTGTGCACGCTTCAGGGCAAGGTGGGTTTGCCTGCCTGAGGGCTGGAGGGCACAGGGTCCGTGGGAGGGGCTGATCCCGTCCTTCACTTCTAAAGCTGCAGCCCCAGGACTGGACTTCGTTGGACGGACCACTGCAGGGCCTGCAAATGCTGCTGCTCATGGTTCTGCGGCAGGCCTCCGGCCGCCCCCATGGCTCCCACGGCCTCTTCCTGCGCTACCGTGTGGAGGCCCTAACCCTGCGTGGCATCAATAGCTTCCGCCAGTACAAGTATGACCTGGTGGCCGTGGGCAAGTAAGTAGTCTCCGGTCCCCCCTTTCCGTGCCCAGGATGCTGTCCAGCTGGGGCGGAGTGAGGCACGGCCTGGTGGCTCTGGCCAGCCGTGAACCTGCCCCACACCTGACAGGGCTTTGGAGGGCATGTTCCGCAAGCTCAACCACCTCCTGGAGCGCCTGCACCAGTCCTTCTTCCTCTACCTGCTCCCTGCCCTCTCCCGTTTCGTCTCCATTGGCCTCTACATGCCTGCCGCCGGCTTCTTGCTCCTGGTCCTCGGTCTCAAGATATCCTCCGCCCCTTGACATCTGCTTGTGGCAGAGCCTCCAGTTCCTTCGATTCTAGGCTGGGGAAAGTCCTCCATCCTGATGGGGGGTAGGGTATGGGGGTGAGCCCTGGGTCCCCTCTGGGCAGATCCCATCACAGCTGTTGTTGGGGTCCTTGATTGGGCTACGCTCTGGAACTGTGGATGCAGCTGCATGAAGCCGGAGTGGGCCTTGAGCCCGGGGGGAGCCCTGGCCCCAGTGTCCCCCTGCCCCCTGCACAGGTGACGGCACCCACTTCTGTTGTTGGAGTGGGCTTCCAGGGTCTGACTGTTGTTTACTGTTGCAACTTAACCTCAGCTGGTGGGGTGGTGGTGGTCTTTGGGGATCCCCTTGCCCCAGGACCCATCTCCAAGATCCTGTGTGCCCTGCAGGGTGTGGGGCTGGCCTCGCTTGTGGCACCTCTGCTGATCTCGCAGGCCATGGGACTGGCCCTCTATGTTCTGCCAGTGCTGGGTCAGCATGTGGCCGCCCAGCACTTCCCAGTAGCAGAGGCTGAGGCTGTGGTGTTGACACTGTTGGCGATTTATGCAGCTGGCCTGGCCTTGCCGCACAACACCCACCGGTGAGAGGGGCTGGGCTGGGCGGGTGTGGGTAGAGGACCCTTGGACCTGAAGACAGCCTGTGGGCTGCCTCTAAGCCCTTTGTTTCACAGGGTGGTAAGCACACAGGCCCCGGACAGGGGCTGGATGGTACTGAAGCTTGTGGCCCTGATCTACTTAGCACTGCAGCTGGGCTGCATCGTCCTCACCAACTTCTCACTGGGCTTCCTGCTGGCCGCCACTATGGTGCCCACCGCTGCACTCGCCAAGCCTCATGGGTCCCGGTATGCATGGATCAGCCCCACTTCCACCAGTGCCTGTGCCCTCACCACAGACCGCACCCTCATCCTCCTTCAGTAGCCCTTTTCCCCAACTTGGTGCCCCTGTCCCCACCATGGAGCCTACCCTGATGTTGATTCTCCACTCAGGACCCTCTATGCTGTCCTGCTGGTGCTGACAAGCCCGGCAGCCACGCTGTTTGGCAGCCTGTTCCTGTGGCGGGAACTGCAGGAGGCACCACTGTCACTGGCCGAGGGCTGGCAGCTTTTCCTGG